GATCGAGAGCCTCTTCCGGCTGTAGGGTCCAGATTCTGTTTTGTCTCTTCTAATCTTGTGGAACATTGGACCCCAAACCAGCTGTCATCTCTCTTCCCATAAGCTTGGATGCGCTTCCTTCATTGTACTCTTCGAATCCTCCAACAGAGGAGATTCACACGGGCAGAAGTTGGAGGCCTCTTCCTCAATGCTCCCCACCAGGGATGGGCATCCCCATATCCTTCATGGGACCCTCGCTGCTTGGCTTCTGAGCCCAAGGAGGGATCTGTGTCAATCATGTTGATAGACTGATCCCTGAAACAGAGCTCCCCAAGCTTTCGGGCACCACGGACCGGTTCCGTGGAAAGAGGTTTTCAGTGGACCGGAGGGAGCGTGATTTCATGCACTGCCTACATCCTTCTCTCTCTTTCTCTCCCTCTCTTTTTTCTCTCTCTTTCCCTTTCTCTCTCTCCCTCTTCCTCTCCTTCTTTCTCTTTCTCCCTCTCCCTCTTTCTCTTTTTCCATCTCCTATTCTTTTTCTTCATCTCTTTCTTTCTCTTCCTCTTTCTCCTTCTCCTTTTCTTTTCCCCTCTCTTAATTCCTCTTTCTCTTTTTCACCTTCTCTTTCTCTTTCCCTCTCTTCCTCTTTCTTTCTCCCCTTCTCCTTTTCCCTCTCCCACTCCCTCTCTTGCTCTTTTCCCCTCTCTTTTGTCTCTCTCTCTCTCCTCTCTTTCTCCCCTCCTCCCTCTCTGTCTTCTCCCAAACATCTTTACCCCTTGATCTTTTATGCCGATTGTGACTTTATTGTCGCAAGCATCAGAACTCGTATCCCTTTCCTGGATCTGTCAGGGTATCATAACGACCGAATCTGCACGAGGGAAAGGAAACAGAGAATTTCCAGGCGGGAACTGATGGGAAACTATCCATAAAACAAAAGCCTTGGCGCTGGAGAAGCCCAAAGGGCAGGAATCCCCCCCCCCCTCTTGTGCCCATCAAGGCTCTGACAGACCGATTGAATTATGCTGCACTTTCAAAGCAAACGCAATCACACTTCCAAACATTGCCCTGATGCTCGAAAAGATGACGGCAATCCGTTCTCCCAGGGAGCAATCTCTGGCCGTCTTCGGGACGATGCACAAGAAGCCTGTTCAACAACACCTTCGGGCATGTTTAGCAAAAGTAATAAAGAGGCTTTTTAAAAAAAAAATGGATGCTGTGGGTGAGTTTAGATTTTAAATGGGGTAAAAAGGAGGAGGAAGTTGCTTTCCCTACTGCCGAAAAGGTTACAGGGTAAGAAGCGATGGTGGGATTCAAAATTAGGGTTACTAATTTAGCAACTGTGGTGAGTCAATGGAGATAAAAAGGGGCAAAATTCACTGAACAAATGTTTCGCTTAACAACAGAAATGTTGGGCTGAACTGTGGTTGTAAGTCGAGGACTTCCTGTATATAGCAGACGGAAGAATTGGGGATGACCGCTGTGCCCACGGGGATGTAGCCTGCTTCCCTGAAAATAAGCCCTCCCGGGATAATAAGCCCAATCGGGCTTTTGAGCGCATACGCTAAAATAAGTCCTCCCCCCAAAATAANCTTAAAAACATCCAGTGATGGAGCCCCCACAACTTCTGAAGCCAACTTCTGTTCCACTGGTTGGTTGTCAGGAAGTTTCTCCCAGCCCTCCAAGGCCAAACACAACCCTGGCACGGCCCTCAATGAAATCGAGTTTGACACCCCTGCCATCAGAGGGGAAGAGAAATGCAGAAACGACCAAGGCCCCCTTCTCATCTCAGGCTGGCAGAGGGGGAGCCTGCGAGAGGGACCCATGAAATGGCACAGCCCTTCCATAGTTATGGGTCTCTCTCTTTCTCACCACAGCTTTGATCTCCCTCTCCGGCCCCACAGGCGGAAGCAACGAGGCCCAGGAAAAAAAAAGATGGCTGTGCCAGGCTTAAAGAAATGCGGCCAGATGGTTTCATCTTCGCTCCATTGCAGGAGCCAGGAGACCCATAATCGGCGGGCTTTTTCAGCTCGGCAAAAAAAAGCACCCAGTGGTGGGTAATTCTTTTATTCCCTGCCAAAAGACATTCCCCCCCACCCCGTCCCACTCTAGGGTGTGAAGCTTCAACAGCTGTTGCCTAGTAGAGGCCATATTGGACTCGCTGGTGCCAGCCACAGTGGGAAGATTTCACATTTGCAATTCAGATCTCCCTGCCCCCCTCCCTTTCCTGCCTCCCCCTCCCCAACTCTCATCCCGCCAGTCGGCTTCACCTAGGTGGGCTGTAACTTAAGTAATAAGCCCCCCTCTTGTCTTACCCTGCCCAAGGTGTTTCTCACGGTTGAAAGGAAGAGCCAATCAAATGATTGGGGTTCCCTTGGGGTACCCGAGCAGCGAAACTTGGGAGAATGCGTTGAATCTACGCGGAGTTCTTAGGGAGGGGAAGGAGAGGATGTCGCAATAAGGATTGTCTCCTGGTGGCATGTAAGGAGCTGTGCGATGGGCCGTCTCCTAAACCAAAGCAAGGTCATGGCACAGACTTGAAGGTAAATCAGGAAGNGGAATAAAAGAGGAGCGAAAGGGGAGTGGAGTTTGCAGGAGACAATCAGTTTGCTTAATTGGTTCGTGACTCTCTGAGGCTCTTTGCCAAGTTTTGCAGATCTCGGCCTGGCAGCTCTCCAAGCCAGATGAGGTCTGTGACTGTAAATCCTCCCTTGAAAGACTTCGTTAGATGTGAATGAGCAGAATTCACAGTCAATTAATAAAAGGGTTTTTTGTTGGGACCAAGAGTTGGCTTCATGCTCTTGGGAAGCCTCGGTCAGAACAGCATCCCGCCATAAAGTATGGGGAGAGGAGATGGGAGGAGATGGGAAGGGAGGATGACAGGAACCAGAAGTGCCCACCAGAGACAACAGTTGAATGACCCAAGGACTCCAGCATGGGAAGGGAATGTGAACCCCACCGAAAAAGCGCCAAATTTTAGAATTGTTACCAAAACAACTTATTGGACACTAACAAAACGGATAACCCTTTGTCTGAAATGGTAGAGGGTCTCCTGCTTGAGCATGGGGCTGGACTAGAAGACCTCCAAGGTCCCTTCCAACTCTAGTTCTGGTGGAGACTAAGGGGGGAAGGTTTACTAGCTTTACTAGGAATCCTCAGATTTGGCTTTGCTTACCCTGTAACCACTTGTCTTTAGTCAAATGTACCTTGTACTAGAAATGGAGTTGAGGGTCTTTCTTTCCTAAATCCCTACACTGGGACAGCCTGACACCCAAATTGACTGATTTAGCATTCAACTCTGCTGAAACGTCCTTAAGAAGTCCACACTATCCTATGTGGCGGAGATGCCCCAAAGCAAGAAAATATTGAACAAAAATACATACATGGCTGGAAAAAATGACAAAACAACATATAGATTTGAAACCAGAGATATTTTTGTTGGGCATCCTACCTGAAACATATGATAAAAAAGACCACATAACTGATCTTGCATATCTTAACTGCAACTAGAATTGTATTTGCGCAGCAATGGAAAGATGGTGAGATCCGGCCTGAGGGGAATGCGATCAAGAAAACATTAGACTGCGCAGAAATGGATCGATTAACACTATTAAGGATAAAGGAGAAATGGAATACTTTTTGATATGGGACGTATTTTATCAATGGCTAAATAATAGAAGTTAGAAAAGAGGAGATACAACTGGAGAAGATGGTAAAGAGGGGAATTGTTAAAGAAAATGATATCAAATGTTAAATATTAATGTTATGATATTATGCTATCATATTATTAATATGATGGTGAGGAATTATAACAACAATGTATAATAGGATTACTTAAGCACAATTGTACCCAGAACACACACTATTCGATTAAAATTGGATGTTACATAAATAAAACAAATAAAACTTGGGGGCAGGGAAAGAAGTTTGAAAAGTTTGCATTAGATATTTCATTTTAATTCTGGCACAGTTAATATGATTGATGCTACTGCAAGGGAAGACACCAATGAGCCGCAAACATTTCCCTTCATGATAATCAAAGAACTGCAGATTACCTGCTGAACAATTTGTTCCACCTTCGGGATTAGATGTTTTAAATAATAAAACCATTAACCAAACCGATGCGATGCGCTAAAGGTCTCCCCACAAAAGGAGGAAGAATCTTTGCAGGCAAAATGTTCTCTCGAAATGAAACAGGAGGGCGGTTTCTACATTCATCAGAAGAATAAGTTTCATTTTCTTTGATGTTTAAATGCACATTAAGACCAAAAAAAAAAAAAAAAATCAACTCTGGTCCTTTTCTTCTTTTTTTATTTTAAGTTCCTGTTCTATAAGTAGCTGGGCTCATTTACTTCTGAGAAGAAATGTGTGGGATCAGCAGGCTTCAGGCAATGAAACTTTCAGAATTGTTGCAAAATGGATAAAAAAAATTGGCAATCTGATTGCATTGCCGGCTCCAATATTTGGATCATGTTCCTTTGGTGAGATGTGGAGCACAAACAAGAATAGCTGAAGTATGCATGATGATGATGATGATAGCAATAGCAATAGCAGTTAGACTTATATACCGCTTCATAGGGCTTTCAGCCCTCTCTAAGCGGTTTACAGAGTCAGCATATTGCCCTAACAATCTNGGGAACGACTAGCACATATGTGCAAGGGGCAAGCTTTACCTTTATATGGCTCTCTCAGGCAAGTCCTCAGAGGAGAAATTGCTCACAAAGGGAGGTTGCCCTGGCTAATTATTACCTCTCTCTGACCTGGAGGTCTCTCAAAGGACATGTCCTCTGCCCATTGCATGGTGCCATCCTCCTTTTCCATAACACCACCTGGGTGACCTCAAGATGTTCTAACACAGTTCAGGAGCCACATCTCCTTTGGGGCCAAATCCTGAAGAAGTGGCTCACTCCCGGTCTTATGTCCAAACCAGGTTGGTGGCCGTTCCTCCTCCTCCTCCTCCTCTCCTGCCAACTTCCTTTCATTTATCTCGCGCTTTTCAGGTGACCTCACTCGAGGGCGCCACCATGTGTTTCAAAATGGAAACGTGCCTGAAGCTCAAGGACAGCTATTCCTTCAAGAAATGGCCCATTGCGTATTCCTGGGATGAGGACAGCAAAAGTATCAACAGCAAGAAGGACAACATCAGTCACAGGAGCTCCCTATCGGATGTGGAGACAGCGGCCCAGGATGGAGAGGCCAAGAAGGTCAAAATTAGCATCCTCCACCAAATGAAGCGGGCATCCGGCACCTGGATCAGGTACACCTTGGCACACTCCCTCGGTCGCTGGCTGCTATACCCTGGTTCCATCTGCCTCTTGAACAAAGTCCCGCTGAAGCTGCTGGTGAACGGGAGGACACGCCTGATGGAGGACTTTCGCGGGAAGCGGGCCAAGCTGTTGGCGTGCGACGGGAACACGATTGACACCATGTTTGTGGACCGGCGTGGGGAGAACTCCGGGAAGCTGGGAACGCAGCTGGTGATCAGCTGCGAAGGGAACGGCAGCTTTTACGAAGTGGGGTGCTTCATCACCCCGTTGAAGGCGGGGTACTCTGTCCTGGGATGGAACCACCCTGGTTTTGCCAGGAGCTCGGGCAAGCCGTATCCCGAGAATGACGTCAACGCCATGGAGGTGGTCCTCCGGTACGCCATGCACCGTCTGAAATTTAGCCCAGAGGACATTGCCATCTACGGATACTCCTTGGGGAGCTACACTGCGACGTGGGCGGCCATGGCTTACCCAGAGTTGGGAGCCCTGGTCCTCGACGCTTCCTTCGATAGCTTGCTCCCTTTGGTCGCCAAGATGGTGACCAAGCGGGTGCGGAAGCTAGTCCTTCAGACTATCAAAGAGAACTTCAATCTCAATGTGGCGGATATGCTGCGCCACTATCAAGGGCCGGTGCTCCTCATCAGGAGGACCTTTGATGAAATCACCACCACCCAGTACCACCTGGAGAGCCACCTTCCCATGATCCAGACCAATCGAGCCAACGACCTACTCCTGCAGATCTTAAAGTGCCGTTATCCTAACATCATCTCCGGGGTGGAGGAGGTCGTCCAGCAATGGCTCACTGCCGACTGCCCTCGCGTGGAACGCTTCATCTACCACAATTTCTACCGGGTGGATGACAACTGGTGTCTCGATCAACTGAAGACCTACCGCTCCATCGTGGGGAGCCAGGATGAATTCCCCTGGAACGTCGGGAGCGACTTAGCGACTGCAAGGAAGAAGCACCTGGCTTTGTTCCTGGCCAAGAAACATCTGAAGAATGTGGAGATCACGCACGGGAGAACGTTACCCCCGGACGAATTTGAGCTGCCTTGGAAGCTCTAGCCAGGCCGGCAGATGGTGGGTTTGATAGCAGAGTAAGAGAGAGAAATAAAAGCTAGGATACATCATTGCCTATGGTTGCCCTGAGAGGTTTGTCTAAGGATGAAGAACTTATGACTCAAAAGGTGGATAGGAAGCCAACTTTCTGCTTCTCAAAAGAGCTGAGGAATGGAACTGGCTGGGTCCACCCAGGTTAACCGTGGCAGGTAAAGATCTACTGACGTCATGTGCACCAAACCTGGTTGACTATTAGCTTGGTTGGTTGGGATGATGGTGGTTTTTGCTTTAGGGTTCATTATCTCCTCAAGCCTGTGTCCTAAGTCCACTGTTGACCCATGAGTGTTGTGCCAGGTCAGGGGTCGGCAACCTTAAACACTCAAAGAGCCACCAAAGTCCTAACCAGAAGCCCCCCGTTCAATTCTGGAGCCAACCGGAAGTCCGGTTCCCCCACCATAGAGTCTCCTCCTAGCATAGCGTCCTTTTTCCTTTGCTGACTGGAAGTGCAGTTCCCCCACCATAGAGTCTCCTCCTAGCACAGTGTCCTTTTTCCTTTGCTGACTGGAAGTGCAGTTCCCCCACCATAGAGTCTCCTCCTAGCACAGTGTCCTTTTTCCTTTGCTGACTGGAAGTGCAGTTCCCCCACCATAGAGTCTCCTCCTAGCACAGTGTCCTTTTTCCTTTGCTGACTAGAAGTCCGGTTCCCCCACCATAGAGTCTCC